GGACCCCGCTGAGTCACCCCTGGAACGCCGAGAGCCATCCCTGGATCCCCTGAGCCACCCCTGTGACCCCGGGAACCATCCCTGAGACCCCCCCTAAGCCTTCCCCAGGCTCCCCGAGCCCCCCAGGCCCCCGGCCCCCCTTCCCTCACCGCTGAGGCACTCCAGGATGAGGTAGAGCTTGCCGCCCGTCTGGAAGGCGTAGATGAGGTCGACGATGAAGGGGTGTTTGACGGCCTCCAGGATGTTCCTCTCTGCCCGGGTGTGCGCCGTGTCCTTGGCGTTGCAGGCGATCTTGGCCTGGGGAGGGGGTGGGTGAGGACTTTGGGGGGTCCCCAGAGGGGGTTTTTGGGGGGGGGGGGGGGGGAGGGGGCAGGGGTAGCACTACCTTCTTCAGGACCTTCATGGCAAAGATCTTCCCCGTGTTGGTGCCCTGGACTTTGCGGACCTGGAACACCTGGAAGGGCGGGAAGGGAAGGGTGGGGACGCTGTGGAGCAGCACTGGAGCCCCTGCCAGGACCCCCCCCCCGGCCCGCTGTGCCCCCACCTTGCCGTAGCCACCCTTGCCCAGGACTCGGAGCAGCTCGAAGCAGTGGGGGCCGATGTGCTCGGGGCCGTTGTTGACGCTGCTCTCCGAGATCTCGATCTCTTCGTAGTGTCCCACCGGCCTGGGGGGAGAGGGGGTGAGCAGGGACAGACCCCCTGCCTGTCCCCTGCCTGCCCCCCCCCCCTCCCCTGCCTGCCCCCCACTTACTCCAGGCCGTTCCCCCGGGGCTCCAGCTCCATCTCCTGCGGGAGGGGACCCGCGGTCAGCGGAGGGCAGGGGGGGCACGGTGGGCAGGGGGGCAGGGGCAGGGAGGGGACACGCGGTGGGATGGCAGGGAGGCAGCAGACCCGTGGCAGGCAGGGGACTCGTGACAGGCAGGGCACCCAGGGCGGGATGGCAGGCAGGATAAGGACCCACAGCAGGCAGGGGACCCACGGCAGCAGGGAGGGGACACATGGCAGGGAGGGGACCCAGGACAGCAGGGAGGGGACACATGGCAGGGAGCGGGACACACGGCAGGGAGGGGACCCACAACGGCAGGGAGGGGACCCAGGACAGCAGGGAGGGGACACATGTCAGGCTGAGGACCCAGGACAGGAAGGGGACCCATGGCAGGCGCGACACGGGCAGGACACGGGCAGGACACGGGCAGGACACGGGCAGCGCGGGGCGAGGCAGCGCCGAGCCGGCCCTGCCGGATGTTTTGGGGCCGAGGCCGGGCCCTGCCCAGCGGGAGCCGCCCGCTGCCCGGCCGGGACCCCGCGGCTGCCCCCGGTGCCGCACGGACAGCGCGGCGACAGCCCCCGCCCCGCCACCGGCGGGACCCCCGTCCCCGTCCCTGTCGCCGCCGCCGTCCCGCAGCCCCCCGCCCGCCCCGCCGGGCTCCGAGCGTGCCCCGCGTGTCCCGGTGCCCGCGCTCCCGCTGTCCCCGCCGCGTCCCCGTCCCCAGCCCGGTGCCCCGCGTCCCCGCCGAGCCGCCCCCCGCCCCTGCCGGCGCTGGGGGGTCCCGATCCCGGGGTGTGTGTCCCCCCCCCCCCGCGCGTCCCCCCGCCCGCGCCCCGGGGTGGGCTCACGGCGCCCAGCTCGGGCTCGTCCCCGTCGCTGCCCTCCTCGGTCTCCAGGTCGATGTCGAACACCCCCGCCATGACGGCGCCGCGCGGGGACCCCCGGGGACCCGCCCCGCGGACACGCCCCCACGGACCCACCCCCACGGACCCGCCCCCCGGACCCCCCCCCCCGGGCACGCCCCCCGGACCCGCCCCCCGGACCCGCCCCCACGGACACGCCCCGCCGCGTCACCGGGGCATGCCCCGGTGTGCCCGGTAAGGGGGGGCAGGGGGTCCCCGGGGGTGGCGCAGGGACAAGGACAAGGACAGAGCCGCTCACAGCCTTTACTGGGGGTCGCCCCGGCCCCGCCCGCGCTGCGCAGCCGTGACGTCAGCGGGGCCGCCGTGACGTCAGAGGAGAGGGTTAGGAAGGGACGGGGGGGAGCCCCCCCCGGCCCACCCCCCCCCCCCCCCCCCACGAGTGGGCCTGGGGGGCACTGGTGGTGTTGTAGGGTCGTGGGGGCTGTGAGGGCTGGGTGTTATTTATTGTAGGGTCTCTCGAGTTATTGCAGGGCCTCAAGCACTACAGGGGCTGGGTGTTATTGTAGGGTCTCCGGTGTT